TAAATTTTGGGCACAGTTGAAATTTCTTAAGAATTCGGCACCTGTTGGTACAAGTGTGGTTTTTGGGACCGTCATGTGTCCATTTTGCAAACTGATTTTACTAGAATTTTTTAAATAAAATTAGATAATTTGTGAATATTTTTCTATAATTTATTGAATTCCTAAAGAATTTCTATGAATTTTCTATTGAAAATTAATTATAATAATATTATTAATATTATTTAATAATAAAAATCTAAAATATCTAAAAGCATTAAAGGAATTATGGCTTAAGCAAAAATATACCTAAACCCTAAAAAATAAAAAAAATGCAATTAATGGATGGCTAGCTTTGCCTGCACTTGTGTATGTTGCAAGAATGAATTGAAGGGTCTGACTTTACTTGATTCGAGATCTTCATGGATTTAGAGTTAAGCAGAATCATGCCACCCTTAATGGATGTCTACACAACTCCAAACAACAAAGAAATGCATAGCATAGCTGGCCAACTCATCTAACACTAAATTAACAAATATTGACAGATATATAACAAAATTTCTATTTCAAATAATACAAATTTATAATAATATCAACATACTTGTTCAACATGATGGGACATGATTATCAATTTTAATTTAATTATAAATTTATATCCTTTCTTTCTCTTTAGATGGTAGAAGACAAACCAATTAATCTAATCTACTAATTACACTTTTCTTATTTCTTAGGTTTTAATCAGACTTTAATATATTAAATTTTTTTACTATTTATTAATTTATAAGTTGCAATATTTTATTTATATATACAAATTAGATTTTTTGGGGTACAATTTTATTATTGTTTTACTTTTCAGATCACAATCATAATTTCTGGTAGAAGACAAACCAATTAATCTAATCTACTAATTACACTTTTCTTATTTCTTAGGTTTTAATCAGACTTTTTTTGCTATTTATTAATTTATAAGTTGCAATATTTTATTTATATATACAAATTAGATTTTTTGGGGTACAATTTTATTATTGTTTTACTTTTCAGATCACAATCATAATTTCTATGAAGCCATTACGTTTTCGTTGTTTAAAAAAAAATTATACTAAAAAACTGTTTTCTACAACAATTTTAAAAAGTCATTTTTTTATGACAGCTTTATAAAATAATAACAAAACCGTCCTAAATCAAATCATAATTTACATAAATGTTAAAGATAGAAGGGGCAAAGGTGAATTTTTTTTTTCTTCAAAATTTAAATGAACTTTGTAGCCAAAATTTCATCAAATTGGTAGATCTCTTTTCAAGAAAAAAAAAAAAAGTCAAGATGCGTAAAAATATTGAGGAACAATAAAATAGTTAAGTTGACTTAAAAAGAATGATTAGTTTAGGTTCATTTAAAATTATAGAATTGATATCCGGTTTGTTTGGGGTGGTTTTAATTTTTCGTAAATGATTATGAAGTTATTGCGGGGAATTTAGGCTTCGTTTGGGACGGCTTTTTTATTGCTTTCTAAAATGGAGTTTTAGTACAAATTTTTTTGTTTTTATACTAAAACTCCGTTTTAGAAAGTAATAAAAAAACCGTCCCAAACGAAGCCTTATTCCTAATAAAGCTAAATTTTTCTAAAGTTATAACAATAGCTTTTTTGTAGCTATCACATAATAAAAATTGGGTTATGAAAAATAATATTTCATCATAAATTTTTTTATAAAACATCAAGAAAATAATAACAAATAACTGTGAGTCTGTGATAGCGATATGAAGAGTAAAATAATGAGAATGCTACTCCAAATTGACCTATATTTGATTTATTTTTCATTTTGGTTAATCATATCTCTCCTAACTATGATGTAATGAAATTTAATGGATTTTCTTTTAAAAAATTTAATCAAATTAAACCTCAAAAATATCGAAATACATTCTTGTATGCTAAAATAAATGTAAAATAGTGCTATTTTTATGTTATAATAACGCTGGGGAAGAGGGGAAACATGCAAAATTTATCTTGCTGAATTTTAATAGCCACCTTATTTTTTATTTTTTAATTATAAAACTCATTTTTTATAATATATCTAGTCAATTATAGAATAATAACAATTCCAACAGCAAATGACTTGAATTTGAGAACTAAGAGTCCGTTTGAGATGGTTTCAGCTTTTATAAAATTGATTGTAAAATTATTGTGAAAAAAACATCTTCACTATTTTGGTTGTAAAATATAATTTGATATCACAAAAAATTCTAAGAAAATAGTGAGAAAATAATAAAAATAATAATAACAAAATAAAATTATGATTATTGTCTAAAAAATAAAGCACCAAAAAATTTGTCTGAAATGGATCTTAAGGCTTTGTTTAGCATGACTTTCTTGCTACTTTCTAAAATAATTGATTAGCACAAATTTTTAATTCAAAAATTTTTTGTACTACAAAATCATTTTGGAAAGCAATAAAAAAGCTATACCCACCACTGCTTGTCTTGGTGGTGAAGAGCCGGCTGGGTAAAGCCCAGGTCCTTGATTCGAATCCCTTGGCAAGCAGTGAAAGCCTTAAGTGTTGGCCAGTGTAAATTGGTGTGGGTTGCATGCTAGGTCGACCGGGGTTTACACATGGCCTAAAGACAGTGCTTCCTCGTCACAAAATAAAAAAAATAAAAAAGCCCCAATGAAGTCTCGTTTGAGTTAGTTTTCTTACTGCTTTTTAAAGCAACTTTTAATGATAAAATTTTAATTTTTTAACTAAAAAGTTTTGTTGTAAGAAGTACTTAAAAAAGTAGTCTCAAACGGAGCCCAAAGACGACTTTTTTATTGATTCTTAAAGTAACTTTATAATAAAAAAATTTAATTTGTATTAGAAAGTTGTTATAAGAAGTTGTAAAAAAAATCGTCTCAAACTAAGCCTAAATTAAACAATGATTTTGAATAGAATCGATCAAATTACATCTTATTATCAAATGCGTGCACTCAAAATTTTCTTCTGTTATTAGAGGTCCACAATTTTTAGAGGAACTCAGTTGAGGGAGGGGACGCTCCCAGTCACGTGACTGGTCTGTTCATCCACACGATAACAGATTCCATATCGTGATCGATAATATGAACGGCCAAGATGAGCTGAACTGGGCCCGTGCTTCAGAATTTTTATAACCGTAAAGCCACACAAAAGCGAGAGAGAGAGACAGAGAGAAAGAGAGGAGAGAGGGAAACTGGCTATTTCTCCCTCTCTTCCACAGAAATTACAATATTTTTTCCGTTATATTAAAGTCTGTGGATAATTACTGGCCGAAAGTGATACGATGCCAACCATCTTCTTCCACGTGGCACACTTTCCAACATGGGACCCCCCTCCCCTCCCCAACCATTTGGAGAAAATTCGATAATAAAATTTCATCCTGTTTTTCTGACCGTCAATAATACCAATTAAGACACAAATATAAATATATTTTTGCAACAAAATGAATTTCCGGCTGCTAATAATTAAAAAAAATCCGATAAATAGGGCTGAAATGTGGCATCAAATGGATCCCTTTCCAGAAAATATTCTCGACTGAGATTCCACATTAATTATTTATTTAAATCCAATATTTCCTTCCCCTTTCTTTGCGCATTTAATGACCAATTAAGGTAATGGATATTCCATTTTATTTACTTTAATTGCCATTTAAGTTTATTATCTTAATGAAATGTGTCAGAGGTGAAATTAGAAAATCCTATTGGTTCTCAACATTATTATTTATTTTAATTGGATTTCGATTTATGATTTTTTTCGATTAAAAAAAATGATTTAAATTTGAGAATTAAAAAGGTTTTTAAAATTTAATCGATGGCATTGTTTGGAATAGCTTTCCAATTTTTTTAGTGCTAGAAAAAATAATTATTAAAAAATAATAAACATAGGAAAGTTTAAGCTGTCCCAAATAATTAAAATCTATGATTAGATGGCTACAACTTTTAAAAAAGTTGACTGAAAAATCGTTGTGAGGATTTACTGTAAATATTAGTTCTTAGTACAAAATATCTGATTCAAAATGAAAATTTTGAGCCAAAACATATCGAATGCATTGGTCTAATTCAATTATAATATTAGTTGATTTTAATTAAAATTTAATATCTTATTTTTAATTTTTTTAAAAGATATGATCGAATTAATGATTAAAAAAAGGCTTAAGAGTTCAGATTAATGCAATTCATGATATCATATTCAAGTTCTAATTTTAGCATAAAGACTTAAGTCGAATAAGACGTATTGATATAAATATAAAAATATAATTATAAATCATATTTTCACTTATTTATATATGATATTAAAATGAAAAAAATTCAAATATATTTCCATAATTCAATGCCCTAACTGATTTTTAAAATCAAAATGAAATGAGCCCAATCAGATAACGGATACTAATTAATAAGTCTTTTTGTCAGTTGCGTCAAGACCTGAATTTTTCAACGTTAATGGAGGTTATGAAAAAATGAACTATGAAGAACGTGAGCCGTGCGATTTGAGCGTAAGACACTTGGCGGGAATCGGAATGGGAGCGGATGGATAATGGACTAAATGGTCGAGGTAGTTTAAGCGACCGGTGGTAGGCCGTAGAGGAGGAGGGTTTTACCGGCTGGGCCGGTGTCTGGGTTGGAATTATAAGAGCCGGGGTTTTAGATTAAAAAGAAATGGTTTTTAGAGTTTCAGGGGTTTTGGCGATCTCTTGGCTGGTGAGAGAATTCTGCAAGAGATAGGGAGGGGAGGAGAAGAAGATTTAAAAAAAAAACAATAAATCAAAATGTTGAATTTTTGGGCTTTATAAGTGCGTGAAGGAAGGACTCAAGTTCGGATCGAGATTTAGGGATCGACTGTGGCTGTTTCCGATCTCTTTGATCACCTGCGTTGGCTTGTTTCTCCGGCGATCTATTTATTGTTCGTGATTGAAATTGTGTGAATTGGGCAGTTTTCCTCGAGAATCCGAGGTGAGCGCACGGAATTCTACTGTTCGGTTTCGCTCCGTTGATTTCTGAGTGGGTTTTAGCTTCGATTTCGGATATTTGATTCCGGCGATTGTCGTGGTTTCCGGTTTCTTTTTGTTTTGCGTCTCAGCCGGCTTCAAATGGGATTTTTTCTTTCTGGGAATTTTCATCTTGTTGTTGAGAGAATGAGATCCGGGTTTGGAATTAACTTTGGTGTCGGTTTCGGTAGCTATTGCGTTTCTTGCGCTGTGAAACTTAGGTTGCTTAAGCCTTACGGATCCTTCTCCTGGGATTTTGATTCGATCTATTTATTTCTCCGTTTATAGTTGTTTTGTTAATTTATTTGTTTTCTTGGAAGATTAGTACTGAAGTTCAGCTTAATTTGCAAGATTACTTCTAGTTTGGCCGTTTATTTTCCAGTTACTAGAATTAAAATGATCAGAGCTTCGATTTTCCAGATATTCAGAGGTTTATGACGAAGTATAGCTTACTTTGACAATGTTACTTCTATTTTTAGATTGCTTTCGCTGCATAATTGGATCACTTACCTTATGTCGGTTTTTTTTTCCTTCCATTATAGATAAATTATCATTTCTTTCAAATTCTGCATCAGGCTGTGTAGAATTCATTCAGATCACCCATTTCATCCATAGATCTTCTTTAATTATTTCGGAAATATTTCTTCGGAGTAATGTGAAATAGGATTACTTACTGTTATTTGAAATAGAAGACTTTGCGCTTTGGATGTAAAAGGATTGTGTCGCATCTCCTCTCTTCCTCTGATCAGATCTATTCAATTTTTATTAAAAATTCTGCGTCCTTCTCTTTCCTTTTCTGGAATTAGAGGTTTATATTGAATTCTTATGTTCGGGCCATGGGGTTTTACGTTTCTTTTTTGTTCATACTTAACTTGATTTATTTACTTTTAATTTCCATCAATAGTTTTCACTGATTATTAAAAGCGCTAAGTATCTTTGAAAGAATTAATTTTTGTATTTTTTTTCCTTTTTTTAAAATGCAAATTTCTGTCATTTTTGTTCCCCTTTTTTGTCTCTTTACTCATAAACCCCATGAATCAACAGGATTGTATGGCTTTGCCTTCGAAGGCCAGCAGATGGATTATGGTTTCTTCTTTAATTAGCTCCTGAATTTGTTCTTTAGCTAAATTCAAAAGAAATGGTTTTTCAAAAGAAGTTGGACGTTGGATTCATTGGATGCCAGATACCCACAATGCCACGGTTTCCGAGATCAGCGAGGGTAGATAAAAATGTCAAATTTGACTTCTTTTTCCTCTGCTTGTTTGTGGTAATATTTGACTAATTATTCATCGTTGATGTATAGGGAAAACGTTCGCCCCCAAAGAAGGTTGAGAACAACCAAATGCATCCATTTGACTTGCTTGCAACTGTAGCTGGAGAGCTGTTAGAAAAGAGAGAGAGCTCCTGTTCGTTATATGAGACAGCAGAAAGAACCAAAAATCATGTCAATACTATCAAGCAGAAACATCTTGACAATGGAAGTCCATCCAAAAGTGATGTCTTTGATCAGGGAAGCTGTGATGAAGGGAGCTTTGTTGCGAGATTTGTCTCTCATGAAGAAAGACGTGCTGCATCTGCCCTCGCACTTGTGAAATCTGATGTATCAGAGAAGGACGGTTTTGCTAGGAAGTCTGCACAATCTATAGGGACTCTAAAGTGCGAGTTGCAGAAGCTAAAAGCAACTGTCAGTTTGAAGAATGATCGTATAGGGATTCATAATTTGGAGGATCCAATGATTTTGGATAGCAAAGCTATAGCTTTAGTCAGTTCAGATAGCAGTGTTGAGCTTACACCTTCTGTAGATTATCATAGTGCTTACAGTAGCTCCTTTCAGTCAGTTAAAGATGGTGCGGAATTAGTTGTAGATAAAGATGATGACGAAAATTCTTCAGGGCGCACTCATAATTGCGCCTTATATTCCAAGGCATTTAAGCCACATTGTACAGTTGAACGTAGGGTAAGGAAAATGACTACTTCAAACTACTGGAAAGCTGATCGAGAAGCCATGATCAATGATGGAGAGAGATGGAATCGTGGTATGTGGATGACTCTGGAAAAATCCTTCATCTCAATACTGCTTGTTGCTGTGATTCCATGTTCTATTTCCTTCTTTTATCTTATTATTGTTGTTAATTGGTTTTCTTACTTGATGAAGAAATCAAGCCTGCTCTTCATTCTCGGAAGCTTTCTTATACTCGACAAAGGACACAAAGGTGCTCATTCAAGAGGAAGAAGTTGCTTGAGCGCTTCTCATCTTCAGCTTCTAATGGAGGCTTTTGCAGTCAAGATGTGCCTGATTCGCTAGTGAAATGTGATACCAAGTTTGATTCTAGTGATCCCCAAGCTCATTTAAATGACGGTGAGTTTGCATTTTCGTATCTACTGAGCCCTTGTGTGGGCTTTTTTGAATTCTTGAGTGAAGCTGACTTGCTTTTCCTTTTGCAGCACAAGGTAGGTCCTGCTCGACAACGGATCAAAGATTATCATATGAGTCAGCGGACCATCCTGGTATATTTTATAGGCTACCATGTGATAGGCCTTCCCTTTTTATTTACAATTTCGGCATTGAATATTTTTGAAGTTCTAATGTGTGCACTCGCGTTGTTGACAGTCAAATTGAGCATCAAATCTTTTAGGGTCCCGGAACTCTTTATTGAGATCCCTGCAAATGCCACTGTTGGCTCTCTTAAGGTATGATCTTTTTACACTGCTTTTTATTTTGTTCAACTGTGATTGCAGCAATAGATCGCAGAGGATTGATGTGATATTCTCATTTAGTTATTTTCTGCTATGTGAAATGAGCGATGCTTCCATTTTCATGCACTATATTGGGACTAATCATGCAAATTATATTTTGCAGAGGACCGTTATGGAAGCTGTGACTGCTGTACTTAGCGGTGGACTACGCGTCGGTGTACTTCTCCAAGGGAAGAAGATTCGAGATGACAACAAGACTCTAGTCCAAGCAGGAATTTCTAATACAGATAAGCTAGATAATTTGGGTTTTACACTGGAGCCGAATCCAAATAGAGCTCCTCCGCCTCACAAATCAAATTCTCGTGAACCAGAATCCCCCAATAAGTAATGATCAAACTCTTTTAGTTACTGTTGTGTTCTCTTCCATGCTAATTGATCTCTACTTACCTCAAAGTCAAATGGAGTTGCAGTCGCTTACAGTTCACACCTTTTATGGTGATTCGCAGGATTCTTAGTCATGCAGATCAAGCGACTCCTGATACCATTACCCAACCTCCGCCGCCCAATACCACAGCAAACTGTACAGACAGTGACCATGATTCCGTTCACTCGCACGCTAACCCTTCATCATCTGTGGATCAAATGTACGACAATTCTAAAGCACTGGTTCCGATTCTTGCCGTGAAATCTGACGCTCTCTCTGTCATTCCTCTTCGCAACTCAAGGCGGTCTGAGATGGTTCGTCGGATCCGACGGCCCTTCTCCGTTTCGGAGGTGGAAGCTCTTGTCCAGGCTGTGGAAAAGCTTGGGACTGGAAGGTCAGTATGAATCCCCACGCTTTATCTTTCCAAAAAGAGGATTTAGTAATTTTAGAGGATCAAAAGTTTGGCTTGATAACTATAAATCTCGTTCGATCCTTACAAATTTTTTGGCTATTTGTTTAGAGATTTAAGATTTGTGTGAGGGAAAAAAAAAATCTTAAATTTCTTAAAATCATCTTAATTATGATGTGATTTACCGATAGGGAGATTATTCTTCCCACAATAGCAAAAATCTTCGTTTTTGAAGCAGTGTTATCTTGCGCGCAGGTGGCGAGATGTCAAGCTCAGAGCCTTCGACAGCGTGAAGCATCGTACCTATGTGGACTTGAAGGTAATTGACCTAAACATATCTTCTCCATTTCCATTTATGCACGAACCTTCCATGTGTTTGTGTGGAGCCGTAGGCAAGCAGCTAATTACTTGGAAAGTTTTATTGGGTAGATCAACTGCTGAGTTCTGAAACTATACACGGTTCTACTTTGCTTTCTTCTTTGAATGGAACTCTCTTTATTTCCATTTTAACAAACCATTTTTGACCCACTTTATTCAGTGCACCTACACAACCAATATAGAATCAACTAAGACTTGGAAGGAAATACGACCCAAAAGAACGAGAAATTATTCTGTGCGGACGTCAAACACATCTTTACGTCCGGAGTCGAATCAGGTGCATCCATGTCAGCGGGACCGAGCGAAGGGGTGACGTGACGCATTTTGGTTGATTTCCTGACGATATTCGGCGTCCGTATAGAATAATTTTTCCAAAAGAACTATCTGAATCATTATTTGGATAGCATATTATACATTTATACCTACGTATTGGACGACATTTATCTCTGGGCTATGAATTGAACAACAAAGTTTTTCCTTTGATTAGCTGTATCTGTTTAGAAAAAAAAAACTCTAGAATTCAGTATGCAAACCTTTTTTTTTTGTATGAATTTTTTAAATTTTTTTCCCTTTTTAAAAGTTTCTTAATTGCAGGACAAGTGGAAGACATTGGTGCACACGGCTAGGATATCCCCTCAACAGAGAAGGGGTGAGCCTGTGCCACAGGATCTACTCGACCGTGTTCTCTCGGCCCATGCCTATTGGTGTCAGCAGCAGGCTAAGTCGACTCGACTGGCCGAGCCATACCTCCTCCCTGCATAAGCTTAATGCCGACCGGGCGGCATTTGCAGGTTAAACCATGTCTGAAACTCAAAAAGGAATAACGAAAGAGGTAAAAAGGAGTAACATTAGAAAGAAGTTTATGTAAATGATATAACCTTCATGATTCTTGTAGCCAGGTTTGACCCTCTTCTCTCAAGAGAAAGGTTTTACTGGTGGTTTGTACATGACACTGTTGTGCTGCTCCAGACTGGGATTAGAACGGTGGGGGGAAGTTTCTCTTATCTCTTGCTAACTGAGTTCCTTTCTACGCCATTCCATATTGGAGTTTCCTCTTTTATTAAAGGGATAGAAGTATTCGATAACTTGTCTGATTTTGATGATTTAATTCATTCTTTTCATCTGACTTCTTTTTGTTAGGCAAAGTGAAAAGAAATGATTTTACTTATTTGCTTTGGATGTATTGCTTTGGTTCATTTATTGTCAATCTCTAAACTATTGGAATCTTAATAATAAGAGATGAATTCTTTCATTCTTTGTAAGTTGTAACTTATTATTATATTTTCTGTTCTTCAGCTATATTTTAGTTGAATTAATTTGTATTTTTGTTTATCATTTTTGCTTGCTCCATTTATCACACTATCTTCCCTCTTATAAGGATAATGACCAAGCAATTCGTCTACTTTCGATTGCCTGACCTTCCATCATATTAGGAGAATGATCAAGCCAATTATCTATCATCCAATTAAGAAATCAATAAATTTGATGATATGGGGACTTGTGAAGGTGAGATGGATGCTATGAAAAGCCTCTCCAGAGAATTTACGATGCACCTAAATGGATTTTTGTAAAGAAGAATTGAGGACAAAAAGAGAGTTTAGAAAGTGCTCCAAGGAACTGGTCATAAGTTGAGGTGTTTGAGAGGTGAGCAACTTCGGACTCTAGAAGATCATCATGTGCCATGTAATAATGTTGACAATCTAGTAGACGTCTTAGATTTTATAATTACCTTGAAGAATTCTTAACATACATCCTAAATGAACTTCTAGAACTTGTGTGTGTGTGTGTGTGAGAGAGAGAGAGAGAGAAGGAATATATTTGAGGATGAGCTTCTTCCTTCTTCATGTTGATTGAATGCACAATTTATTGATATATGTAAGAATCTTGATTACATCTTGCTCAAGCTATGGGCTCTACATCATAGTTATGATACATGAGAGCAAAGTTCAAAGAGAACCCTTAGCACTTACCACTAGATATTGATGCAACATGTCTATATGAAGATGATATAGCTATTCTTATTTAAGCCACACCCCTTGGTAAGTGATGATTACAATGATGGTGCTGAGCAAGCAAAATTTGAGACTAGATCAAAGGCAAAGAAAGGTCGTGCAAGAGAAATATTTGGTCGTCAAGCCACCAAGGCAAGCTTCTTGGAATAACTAGGAAAATGTTGAACTTGAATAATCAATAATAGACACATGGGCTAACTCATTAAAAAGAACAAGCGTCTATAATAAATAGGAGACAATTGAACACGTTGTGAAGTCTTACGGAGTATGCAAGCCACGTAGTATATTAAGAAGAGAGTTCTTAAATGACATCTTACTAATAAAATATATACCAAACAAAAAAACCTTACAAATTCTCCTCTGGTCAATACTTTTTTTTTTTTCTGCTCATTCCATTCCATTTTATTTATAGTTCATAATCAATCCTTAATTATTTTCTTTCAAACAAATCTACAATGATGATTTCAAATGTCAAATTCAGACATTTGAAATCATGAATCTTTTCTCACATAAATTAGTAGCTGAGATCTCCAGCCTTTTAAAACTAATATCATTCTTGAGAGCTGATTTTGTTTATTTTATATGTTTTTAAAAATAATATATTTTTTTGACTCTTATATTATGCATGCTCATTCATGTGTTCAACACATTTTATTGAAACCTCATACTTTAATGTTTAAATTACATAAAAAAAGATGCAAAATTCTTTATTTTATTTTAAATAATTACTATTAATTCTATTTTTGTATATTATTTAAAAAGTTGCACGTTATAAAAATTATATATATTAAATAATATACATTTCTAAAAAAATTATTACATGCACATAAATCCCCCAAAAAAATAAAAATAATAAAAACAATAAGAAAAGAAAATTTAATACTTCTAGTAAATTTAGTTTTGAAATCCAAAATTTTAATATATTTTAACAAATTTTATATTAATATTTTTAAAATAAATAAATTCACAAACTAACAAATCAAGCCAAAATTAACTCAAGCACAATATCATATAAAATAGCCAAATTTCCCTTTGGCTGAACCAAGATATTTTTGGCAGTGAAGGTATTTTCATCTCCTCTCTTGGTGACTGATAAACGACATCGACTTTTGACTCTCGACATCCTAATACTAATTATATTAAGCACAAATTCTTGTTAAACGACTTCAAATTATTTTTAAGATTATACTTATTTAATTTGTATACACTATTTTTAAAATATAAAAACGATTATACCATGTCCAACTAGTGTCCGTGTCCTATATTTTCAATAATTGACGCGTCTCGTGTCCGTGTCATGTCGTATCCGTGTTGCCGTGTCCGTGTTTGTGCATCATAGATTTGAAGTAATTGATTGAGAAGAATTAATCGGAAGGATCGAAAGGAGAAAGAGGGGGGAGAGAGGGCCGACGGCTAGCTTGAGTGGGGGGAGTTAATTTGGGGACTCAAGATACTTGTCAAACATAGAATATTAATTAAGGAAGGAGGAATTATGACAAATCTTTTAAATACAAATTGGCATGATTGAGGGACATTTCTAACATAATTCATCTTATTTTAAGAAAGAAATTCAAATTCAAATGAATTAAAATATGAATTTAAGACTTTCCTAATTTAAGATGTGTCAAATATGGAAATTATTGATTACTTCATTTGAAACTTTGGAGGCAATGGGAAAGAGGGGGATGGCTGGTGGCTAGGAGGGGGAAGGGACCAATGGTTAGGGTGTGGATGACGACAATTTGGAGAAAGAGGGGAGAGAGAGGGCCAACGGCTAGCTTGAGTGGGGGGAGTTAATTTGGGGAGTCAAGAGACTTGTCAAACATAGAATATCAATTAAGGAAGGAGAAATCATGACAAATCTTTTAAATACAAGTTGGCATGATTGGGGGACTTTTCTAACATAATTCATCTTCTTTTAAGAAAGAAATTCAAATTCAAATGAATTAAAATATGAATTTAAGACTTTCCTAATTTAAGATGTGTCAAATATGGAAATTATTGATTACTTGATTTGAAATTTTAGAGGCAATGAGAAAGAGGGGGATGGCCGGTGGCTAGGAGGGGGAAGGGACCAATGGTTAGGGTGTGGACAACGGCAGTTTGAGGTGGGAGTAGGCCAAGGGAGAGGTTGTTGAATGGTCGGCGGCTAGGGGAAAAAAGCAAGATGAACTTGAGCTGGAGATAAACCACGAGCCCGGATATTTCCTACGACTAATGGGTGGTGCTTTGCCATCACCAATGGACTTCAAACTCTCACAACTCTCCAAGAAACAAAGTGCAAATTTTTTTTATCATCATAGTCATCCGCTCCAAAGAGGGAGAGGGGTTTATAAATAGTCAAAATACAATAACATATCCAATGACAAAAGTGCCCCTAGGGTCACATAAGCCTACTCCCTCAAGTTAGGGTAAAAATATAAAAGATACATAATAAAATCAAATACAAATAGATGCTCAAAAATAAAGTGGCCTAATCATAGTAGTCAATCTCCAGCTCCTATAATAGACTTTCCACGACCGGATGTTCTCATAAATTAGGTTTTCAAATCAATAGTTGCATAAGCACGTAAAGGTCAGTTGACTAATTAAAAAACCACGTACATCTTGGTTTTAATGTGGGTGGGAGGGGGGAGGGTGGGCTTTCTGAGTAATGCCTTCTTTTCACCATTTGTACTCTTTGTTCTCTAAGTAGCAAGGTTTATCATAAATAATTTTAATTTTTTTTAATACAAGCATAAAATATTTAAATTATTTTCCCAACCATCTATTCTGGCTTAGAATTCCAAACGCCTGAGCCAAGTCATGACAAAAACATTACATGATTGCTATAATTTGAAAAGGGATTTTAATTAAGCAGCATCCAACATTTAAAGTTAATCCACTAGAAATTTTCTTGCTTGGTAGTAGGTAAAACCTTCCGTGCTACTTAACAATGTCATCATCCTCCCTAATCCAAAACCAGAAATTCACTCACATTTTTGAAAATTTTAATGATGCAACTATAATCTTGAGTTAGTTTGAAGATGAATAGTTAATTATAATCTGTATTAAGATGTTGGGAAACAAGTACATGAATTGAGAAAATCTGGGCTGAAATTGGGAATTTCAATAATCTTCAAGTAGATTTTTGAGATAAATCTCTTGGCAAACCCTAAGGAAACTTGAAAATAGATGAAAAGTAGAAAAAAACAAATAAGATACGATGGATATTCAATTAAAGAGGATACAACAAAACATTACATGATTGCTATAATTTGAAAAGGAATTTTAATTAAGCAGCATCCAACATTTAAAGTTAATCCACTAGAAATTTTCTTGCTTGGTAGTAGGCAAAACCTTCCGTGCTACTTAGCAGTGCCATCGTCCTCCCTAGTCCGAAATCCAAAATTCACTCACATTTTTGAAAATTTTAATGATGCAATTATAATCCTGAGTTAGTTTGAAAATGAATAATTTATTATAATCTGTATTAAGATGTTGGGAAACAAGTAAAGGAATTGAGAAAATCTGAGCTGAAATTAGGAATTTCAACAATCTTCAAGTCGATTTTTAAGATAAATGTGGGCTCCGAAAATTCGGCCCCGGCCTCCCCGCCGTGCACTGATTGATGGTGCTTTTATTTGAGTGAGGGAGTTTTAACGAACTAAGTTCTGGGGTAAATTTTATAAGGCAGATGGGTTTGTAGATGAGACACTACCCAGAGATTTCGCCCTCATTTTGCAAGGGCTTTATGATCTGAGTTTTGTTTCCTATAGGCACAAGCCCCTATAGTTAATTACCCCTCCCGATCACGAGAGAGAATTTTCGATTAAGACTAGTCATCAATCAGATACATATAAAATACGTGTTATCTGGCATATAGTAGCAGCACTGGTATTGAGATTTGAAATGTTTGAAAGAATTTGGAAATTTGATATTTAAAATAGAAATTGCACCATCTTTTATTTAAAGCGGATGGTGGGGGAATGGATGATGGGCCCGATCAAGATCCCATGGTTCCGTCGTCCCGGGCCATCGTGGTCCCTGGTCTATTTAGTCAGAGGAGGTAGTCGACCCAACCTGACAGAAGGATCCTTGTCGGCAGCCATGGGGACCTTGTAGACCTGAGTTGGATGCTTGTCTAAGGGGATAAATTTGAATCCACCTTATCTTGCATAGAGCTTTGTGCCCTATCAATCATATCCTAGTGATTCATATCTCAAGGATTTGATGCCAGTAAGGAACGTATTGGCGCTGGCCATAAC